ACAACGAACATCTTAACTTGTAATCCGTGTTGTGTTAATTCCAATTTTATCAACCTTTATAATTACAATCAAAACCTTGACCACACAAATGATCCTTCTACTTTCTTCCCCCACCACAACCAAGTAGGGAGCTAGTATAAGTGTTTCTATCACCAATCATGGAACCTCTTGTATGCCGACTTAGGTTTGCGAGTGTGTTAAATGGTTAAAGAGATGGTATTTTATGCTAGAAAGTAGAACATATGACGGAGAATTCATGTTTAAAAATTTATAACTTAAAAGCAAACTATGTAGTTTTGTGAAATATACTAGATCGGTCCTCGCATTCATAGTGGTTGTCAAGTCTTTCACGTCACCTAATAACCTACGCAAAACATAAAGATTGAAATCAACGGTAGATAGAGTCTTGCTTGCAATAATGAATTCAAAACTATAAGACTTTGTCTATTGAAGATGCTAGTGACACTTTCGGAACCATTTTGTTTGAGTCGTTGGAGGGAAAAATGCAAAGTCATTATTCTAATGGTAAAAATGAAGACAAGAGCACTCTTTAGCATAGTCCAAACTTTATGAGAGGAAGGATAATCAATTATGATAGGCAAAATCTCTATTGATATAGAGACAATAAGTGTACTTATTAGTAGCTCGGTCTTGTTGAATTTAAAAATTGTATTGAGGGTTTGGTTGTGGCACGTTAGTGTCATTTAAAAGAGCGTAAGAGGGTGAACATTGATTGTTTCCATCAATGAACCTAAAAAAGCTTTATCTCATTAAAATTGGTTTCATCTTAGTACTCTAGAAAAAATAATTGATTGAAGTTAATTTGAAAGAAATAAAATGGTGAGAATAGGTAAGTTAAACAACATGATTTGGTGTGGCTTGGGATGAAACAGGATCAAAAGGGTTTTGATTTTTTGTAGTTGCGGAAAAGGTAATACTTGTTTGAGGCTATTATCGCAATGTTGCAAAAAAATAGACTTTGATATAAAATTAAATAATTAGATAAAAGTTTTTATGTCTAAAAATATTTTTGCTGTTTTTATGGATAAAGTAGGGTACAACAAGTTTATCTAAATACTAACATTATAAACTATCTATAATTCTTAATGAACTAGACAAAGTAACTGACTAGCACTTATATATGTTATTTTGTTACATTTGTTACAAATGTTGCTCTTTTCTGATAGAGTTGCTTCCCTAAGGAAGTTGGGTAATACCCTTGTGTGTGTGTGTATATACACACACACACACATTATTATTATTCTTATTATTATCGTTTAGTTACTCAACCGGCCTCTAGGTTGTTTGCTTTTTAGACGATATTTATTTATTTGTTTACTTATACCTATCATAATTATACATTTACGGTGGAAGCGTCCCTCTTTTTTCTTTTATTGGCTTACAAAAAAAAAAAAATCTTCTTTTATCTAATCATAAAGGGCGAAGCCCTCCATTATCCTTTCCTCGCGTGTTTTAAATGTGATTGGTCCGACTTTTTATTCTCTAATTAATTTTATCTAATTTACCCATGACCCTATGTTTATTATGGGGTTTAAATTAAAATCAAGGTGAACCATTATTAAAATATATATATTTTTTATTTGAAGATAAGATATCCTCAAACCATTTTATATGTAATCGACATTAATTTTTTCTTTGTTCTATCATAATGATGCACCTCCCTCAGGTTAAAAATTTTGAAAATCTCTTTTAAGACTTTATTCTCTTTTCCTTCGAAATCTCTTTCTCATTGCAGGGTACATCCTTTCTGGGTTTCTACGAAACTAAATGCATAAATTGTCTTGCTAATGTGTCGTTCACTTGGATCGGGTGAGAATATGCTTCGACAGGATGTTGTACCATATGCGTTAACCGTACGATTCGTGTCATGTGGTGGCATATGAATCGTACGTTTTGACCTTTTTTTTTTTTCTGTTCCATTTTTTACGTTTTGTTGGCTTCAATGCTACGCCATCTCCTGTGAGAGCATTCTCGTAGTAGCTGTCACAAGCTTTTTTTGGTCCACGCCAGCATGTGGGTTGGGTTGACCATATAAAATTATTTCGGAATAATGATCTATACTGTATTGTAGGTCTAAAAAATACATATATAAAAAAATCTAATTATAATATTTTAATTAAATTTTATATTTAAATATTTTATATTTATATTTTTTTAATTAAAAATGATTAATTCTTCTTTATCCATTGATTTTTAACTGCACAGAAAATTCAATACAAAAAATATAAAAAAAATTCTTAATATTTCATAAGATTGTATTAAAAAAAAGTAATAATTGATATAAAAATAAAAAAATTGTTCTCAATTTTTATTTAATGTATATGGGAATATCAGTTTTTTGAAAATATGTGATGTTTATATATTTAGTTGCAACAAAATCAATTATATAAGAATAAAAAAACTATATTTAGATTACTTGGATGGTTAAGAAAAAACATAATTTTAATTATTTAATTTGAAAGAAATTGATTTAAAATATTAATTAATAAATAAATAGTAAATACTTAGTGTTCTAGTAGTTGCATAGTTGGTTTTTTTTTTTTTTTTAGAAGACAATGATTTAATTTTTTTTTATACATCATATATATATTTAGTTGGTTTAGAGTTTGTAATATAAAATAAAAAATATTTTAAAAAAGATTAACTTGTAATGAATATATTGAATAAATTTAAAGTTTGTAGATTAAAATAAAAGTGCTGAAATTAGTAGGACATAAAATGCTTGTAAAAAAGTGTTGAAATTCACGAAAATACCATTGTTGAGTCTGTTGTGTATTTCTTGGTTTTGTTTTAGTTGTTTTTCTTAATAATAAAAAATGAAGGCTAAATGGAAGAATTTTAACTCATTTAAAATTGATTCTTTAAACTTCAAATTTAATTTTTAAAATAGTTGAATTTTTAATTTTTTGAGATTTAGTCTATTCAATTATTTTTTACTACCATCCTCCCCTTTAAATAATTTAGTTCTTGGTATTTTGAACATAAATTTTGCCCATAAGTTGAAAATAAATCCTATTTATTTTCTAAAATATTTCATAATTTAAAAAAAAATATTTTTTTATTTTTGAATATTAAAAATATAAAAAATAAAAAATAACCAGAAAATGATCTCAAATATTTTTGAGGAGTTCCATGTAAATCTTATTTAATGATTTTTGTCATGGTACTATTTATGTAATTGTTATTTTTTGGAATAAGTGACCGAAAACTAAATAATGAACTAAATTTTGAAAAATTAAAAATTGAGGAATTCCAAATACTAAATTTAAAGTTCAAGAATTCAATTTCAAATAAGTTAAAGCTTAAGAAAAGTTTTTACCTATTTAGCCATAAATTAATAATATAAAATGAACTTGGGGTTTTAGGGAATCATTTAAAAAAAAAATCATATCTAAATAAATAAAGAGCTAAGATAAATTAGAAGAATTCATGTCACGTAAATTCAATAAAGACACCATTTTTTCCGCTTTAGATCTGTTATTTGCGGTGATCTCTGCACAAATACCATTAAGAGCAAAACGTCTTTTCTGATTTCATTTAATACTCTTCCTTCAATTGTTATTTTTTTTAAATGCTAGAATGAGAAAAAAGAAAAAAACAATATCGCTAGCTTGAGATAAAAGGAAAATGACATCATTACCTTCGAATATATATAAAAAATGACATCAATTTTTTGTGATATGAAATTTGTAATGCTACTCTTTGATTAAATTTATTATTTAGGTCTTTTATTTTTACTAATTCATTAAAAAAGTCTTTTTAGTATTAATTGAGTCAAATCAATTTTTGAATTTTGAATTTTAATCATAAATAAAAAATTTCAAAATAAAATTAAAAATTTATATCAACTAATCGAGTAGTCTTTTTTACTATAAAAGTCATTATCGTCAACCTTTTTTTCATTTCTTTTAACGTTATCACTCATCCGTACCATCCTCACCCTCCTTATTGAGAGTGTATATATATATATATATATATATAAATTTTTTGTTAGGCAACAAATTGTATTTAATTGACTTAAACAGAAAATACAAGAGCTTAATTGATGGAAGCGATAATATAGGGATCTTTTGGACGAATGGGCAAAACTACATGACGTAAATAGCGGGTTTTGCCCTACTCTTCTTCTAAACATTTATGGCAAAATGCTTTCGTGTCAACAGTTAAGTGGCAAGGACAGTTATCATCCCGTGCATGCAACGACAGCAGATCTAACTGGCAAATCAACAGCCAACGGCCAGGTGTCGTCTCTCTGGCTTTGCTTGCTTCCTCTTCTACAAAAAACCAGTAAGGGAGCTCAAATCCGAATGTCACCACCTCTCATCCAGCCCTGCCTCATGCGCACATTAGCACTAATCCGATATTCACTGTTCAAAACACGCTCATTTTAAAAAGCGCTTTTGGTTTGGCATTCCTCGCTTAAAGCCCACACTCACTCGCCTTCTTTCTCAGTGAACAAAAGGCGCATTTTAGCTGCCTCTCCGTTCTCTCTCTCTCTCTCTCTCTCTCTCTCTCTGTTTTTCGCATTTAATTTAGTATTTCTCTTTCACCTGCTGCTGATCTCAGCAACAGGAAGGTGCTCTTCTCAAAATCCTCTCTGTCTGTACGTTTAAATATAAATATTTAGCCGCATTTGATCGCAAAGTGTCTGAAATTCTGTTTCTCTTCCCGAGAAGCTATTGCTTTTTATATTTTTCTTCACCGATTATCGTCTGGTTTTTTTTTCGGCGTCGGTTTCTTAATTTACAAAGAATGAGATCTAAAATGAGATGCTATTTTCATTTATTATTTTTTGATTTATTCAAATCTCTGTTCTGATCTTGATTAATTCATTGTAAATCAAGTAGTGATAGATAGATAGAGAGATAGATGGATGATGGTTGATATAAGATAACTATAACTATAATAATAATGGTTGATCCGGTGTTGCAGGTGGCAGATAAAACCTCATTGCTTTATAATAATAAGTAGATCTTGCAATGAGAGGGCGTTATGCGGAGGCCGTCGTGACCAAGAAACGTGTTTCGTCTAGGGATTTTATTAACGCCTATGATAGAGAAGAAAGTTCTGGTATTTTTATTTTTAACTTTATTTTTTTCATGTAGTTTCAAGCTAGTGTTATCTAATGGAAGAAAAAATTACTAACATGGCATGGCCAATGTTTCTTTCTTCTTCTTCTTTTTATTATTACTAGTATTGTGTGTGTTGATGTGTCAGTGCTTTTGTGATTCTGGTCTAATAAAAATGAATATAACATACTAGGACTGCAGTTATTATGTGAATATTCGTGTTTTAAATAAAAAACTTGCAAGTTGGAAAATAAAAGGCATTTTTTCCTTTTCTTTGCCTCATTAGTTAATGAAATTGAGAGGGACAGTGATAGAAGAGCATTGTTACTTATTCAATTCACATTGTTTTAAATGATTTGATTTGATTAATCATATTTTTAGTTTCACTCCTTTTTCATGATAAATTACCTTTATTGAGCTAGGTGATGATCTAGGAGTCCAAACAGAGTTGCCTTCAGCCAGTTATTATTTTGCAACTACTACTTTTGTAGTTGTAAGGATGCTTCGTACTCGATAAACTTTGCATTTTGTTATTGTTCTTTTTTGCAAAATAAAAAACAATCGATGCTGTATTATTTCTAATAATATAGTTGCCAATGCCATAGTTGTGGATGATAAATTAAGAGGCTGATTTCTGGTATTGGCTGCAGGGCAGTTAGCGAATGGAACGGCAAAAGATGCTGGAAACCCTCACTGGAGGCATTCTTTGGTGCATGTACTGGCAGCAACTGTTTCTTCATTCTTATTCGGTTATCATCTTGGGTGTGCCACTCTAACCCTACTCACTTTTGCTCTTATGCTCAAGTTTAAAGATTTCAGAGACATTATATACTAATATTTTGTATTAATAACTCAGAGTAGTTAATGAAACACTAGAAAGCATCTCGTTTGACCTTGGTTTTAGTGGGAATACCATGGCTGAAGGTACTTTATGCAACAGACTGTTCATTTGTTCATTTTCCCTTAGGTGAAACAAGAAAAATCTGATGGATTCTTTTGATTTTAAGGTCTGGTGGTAAGTACATGCTTAGGGGGTGCGTTTGTTGGATCAATATTCAGTGGCTGGATTGCGGATGGTGTTGGACGCCGCAGGGCGTTCCAGCTTTGTGCTTTACCAATGATAATTGGGGCTTCAATGAGGTATGAATAAGGACTTATATTTGTTTCAGTCTCCTTTTCCCAAATTCTTGTTATGTTTAAAACTCTTCCCAATGGGGCTATTCAAATAAAATCTTGCAGTGCAACAACAAAAGATCTGTGGGGCATGCTTCTAGGGAGGTTATTTGTCGGAACTGGGATGGGAATTGGCCCACCTGTTGCGGCTCTCTATGTGACAGAGGTACAGCTGTATAAGAAATGATAATTTTGATATATAAATTGCCAGTTAACTTCTCAGGCTCCTGCCTTTGTTTGCCTTTTCTTTCATCTATATTTATTGAAGAACTGAGATCACTCTATTGAGCAGGTTTCACCAGACTATGTAAGGGGTACTTATGGGAGTTTGACCCAAATTTCGACATGTCTTGGACTTTTGGGATCTCTGTTTATTGGACTTCCAGCCAAGGAAACTATGGGTTGGTAAGAAATCTTGAAAGGAGGTCAAAGATAACTGATCACTGCAAAAATTCTTTCAATCTGTTTCTCTCATTCGAGATACATCAATTGTGATTGCATTCATACAAATTAACTGTCTTATTAACTCATTGCTCTGTTCAGGTGGCGTGTTTGTTTTTGGGTATCTGCCATCCCTGCTGCAATGCTTGTTCTTTTCATGCAGTTTTGCGCTGAGAGTCCTCACTGGCTTTTAAAGGTCTTCTGATCTTCAGCTTTATGCGTATCAAACAATTCATATATTTTTCTTGTGCTTGTATTGGTTGTGCTCAGTTCCATCCTACTGATGTCTGTGCCAGTTGTGGAGATATATGCCTATATATGACCTGCTCGAACACATGGTTATCTAACACAACGCTTTAAATCTTTTTCTTGTTTGATAAAAGAATCCATATTGCTGACCCCAACTAATTTGGATTAAGGCTTTTGTTGTTGTTGTTGTATGTTCAGTAAGAATTATTTAATGAAAATGAAATTCACTGACATCTATGAATAGATGTGGGTTACAGGTTAGAGGCTACAATTGGTGATTAGATCTCATAATCTAATAATAATTTTTTATCTCATAAAGGTGCATATGATTCTATTTTATTTGGGAAGATACAGAGTTTGTTAAATACCAAGTATAATGTTGCTACCCGACGTCGAACAGGTCGGCACTCAACTCCCCCTTTGTGCCTTGCTCTGAACTTCTGTACTGGATCCTATTCTGCAATATTGCTGAAACTTCCTTGCCCCTTGGGCCTAGATCACTATTCATTGTAAATCCAATTTTTTTGAAAAAATCTCAGGAACCCTAAGTTTTAATTAAGATCAATTCAGCTTCAATTTGGGGTTTATAAACTAAAAAAATGGATAAAAATTGGGGTATGACTTATAATGTGAAGAAACGCTTGAAGATAATGATGGGCAATACTCTAATAGCTGAACATTTCAGAACCATGTGTTCTTTAGCATGTGGTCTTAGAGCTAGGTGCATCTTATAATCTAGGAAGCTCCTTTGAATTTTAATATAGGTTCTTTTCCTTTCTATGTACGACAGTTGAATATAAAATGCTGGAAAGTACTATGCTGACTTTTGTTCTTTTTCTTTCCTTTGGAATGTCTCATCCCCTTTTTATACTTGTGACTCATTACTCCTAACAGAAATTTTAATGATAAAACTTCAAAGAGATGTCTATCCCTTTAAATAGTTAAAGTTTTAAAAATTGGTTGTTTAACATTTTTGCTTTAGGATCAAGTTTTCAAATTGTATTGAAATCAAATTCAGTTTTCCTTTTCTCTGTTTATTTTCAGCAAGTAACTGGATCCTTCTTTCTTGATGTATGAACAAATCATCACATATTTTTTAAAGAAAGTATAATTTGAAGCAACAATACTTTCACAGGGGCAGTCTAAAAGCAGATTACCATTTATACTGGCATTTTTTCTCTGCAACTTAACTTTTGTTCTGTTAATTGTTCAAAGTATTAAAAATTATTTCATTTATGCTTCTCTCTTCAAATTAATATTCAACTTCTATCAATATTGTTGGGAAGTTGTTCTTGAGAACAAAAGAGTTCGTAATTGAACCAACTGTTTAACAGTTCACAGAGCTAGGTAGAGGTTTCTATTTTTATTTGTTCAAAGTATTAACAATTATTTCATTTAAGCTTCTCTCTTCAAATTAATATTCAAATGTTATCCATATTGTTGGGAAGTTGTTCTCAAGAACAAAAAAGTTCGTAATTGAACCAACTGTTTAACAATTCACAGAGCTAGGTGGAGGTTTCTATGTTTAATTTTATCATGAATACTAAGTCTCATCATGCTTCATTTAACCAGTGTATTGAATGTAATTTAGTGAATAATGTTAATGGATTTTCCTAAATTTACTTCAGAGGGGAAGAAGTGTTGAAGCTGAAGCTCAATTTGAGAAACTTTTAGGAGGATCACATGTCAAATCTGCAATTGTCGAATTGTCAAAGTCAGACCGGGGAGATGAAGTAGATAAAGTGAAGTTATCAGAGTTGCTCTATGGTCGCTATTTTAAAGGTGCATTTCTCTTTTAACACGCAGTTATATTTGAACATCAGTTTTCTTCCAAATAATTACTATTTACTTCTCCATTTGCAGTGGTTTTCATTGGGTCTGCCCTTTTTGCCTTGCAACAGCTATCTGGAATAAATGCTGTATTCTATTTTTCATCAGCCGTCTTTAAAAGTGCTGGTGTACCTTCAGACTCTGCAAATATATGTGTTGGAATTTGCAACTTACTGGGTATAGATGGCTTTTCTCCCAGACTTTCACTTCTGGATTATGGTTTGCTATCTCTTCCAGTTTCTGATTATATTTTTAATATCTTCAGGGTCAATTGTTGCAATGCTTTTGATGGATAAACTGGGAAGAAAGGTGCTACTTACTGGAAGCTTCTTTGGCATGGTAAAAAAAAAAAAATTCATTCTGGAAAAACTTTGTTTCTTATTTCGTTTTCATGAAGATTGTGCCTATAATGTGGAGATTGGTAGAAATATATTTTAAGTTCAAACATGAAACAACAGTGTTAAACCCATATTCTGATCTTCCAAGCAAAGCTGTTTTCCAGTCATTTCTCCCATTTAAGTGGGATGTGAGGAAGCAGATTTTGGAGATAGTCATGCCCTTCTGCCATTTTCCAGGAAATAGTTGCTCTCAAGACCTGGATCTTATATCTGGCTGTGTAACATGGAATTTCCTCACACCAAATTCTAATCTGATCACATCATAGAATTGTATCAGGATCCATGTGCATGTTTATGTTGGAATAGACAGATAGTGATCGGGTCCGTGAACAGTAAGAGTTTTCTTAATTGATAGAGAAAATCACCATCAAGGTGGAACGGAGCATCATAACTATACAGGTGAAGATAATGAGTTAATTAATGAAATATAACGGGCAGTAGTCCTTATAACTTTGCCTCTTTGTTTGGCAATTTACGGGGAAGAAGTTGTTACATGGCAATATTGAGTGAATCACTGTAGACTAAATGATGCTAGTTGCAGTGACCAATAAAACTTCAGGAATTGTAAGATGTAGACTAGAAGAAGGCATAAGGCTAATGCCAGAATTGGAGCTTTGTAGGTAGGGTCTAGCGGTTTGTGAGTTCTGTTTTTGCTTTTGCAACCGGATTCCTTGATACCAATATGCAATTTTTAAGTTTAATGCTCCAGATTTGCATTAGCAGAACAGAATGTGACAAATGCTTTATCTAAACTTCATGCAGGCAGTCTCAATGAGTCTTCAAGCAATTGCAGCTACTTCATTTGTGTCAAGCTCTGCATCATTGTACCTATCTGTTGGAGGCATGCTACTGTAAGTAGTCAATATCCTCTACAACTTGTAGAAAAAAGATAACCACTTTTCATTATGAATAAACTAAAATATCAACCAAACTTATGATGACTTGGTCATTACCTTCAGATTTTCCAGTTCTCTTTTAGCAGCAACAATTCATGAAATTTTTTTGATGAAATAGATTATAAGTAAGCATCAGTTGATATTGAAACCTAAATTGGAATAACAGGAGATGTATACTCTTAAGATGCTTGAATAAAGGCAATATTTCAACATGTGAGATATGAATTTCAAGTTGTTTGGAAACTAGTTTTTGCATAAAGATTGTCAGGTGAAAACTAATTGTTTTGAAGCCTCTCATGATAACTGTTATTTGAAACACGAAACTTGTGCTAATGCAGGTTTGTATTGACGTTTTCTCTCGGTGCTGGTCCAGTTCCCAGTCTCCTACTGTCAGAAATATTTCCAAGCCGGATTAGGGCAAAGGCAATGGCAATTTGCATGGCTGTGCATTGGGTAATTCTCTATGAGCCTCCTTGATTTTTTTGACAGAAGTCTTTTTTTTTTTTTTTTTTTTTTTGCCGTTGGGACAGCCAGGTCTACACCCATGCAACTGGTTTTTTCCCACTGCAATTGATAGATTTATCTTTCAATGATGACTAGACAGTAAAACTTGGAGTAGAAAATCTTGGAATCTGGTAATTCTCTCATGGCTGTCCTTCATTTTCCTGACAGAGGTCATTTTGGCCATTGAGACAGCCAAGTCTACACGCATGCAACTTTTTTTTTTATCACCCCAATTGATATATTGGTCTCCTTTTCAATGATGAGTAGACGGTAAAACTTGGAGAAATCTTGGCATTTCCAATGAACTAACAAGCTTGATTCCACATAGAAAGAGTTCTGCCGTATTTTGCTTTACATATTCAAAGAGCTATATTATCTGCAAACGCAATATAGTCGAAGCAAATTACTGAAAATTTGAAGTTTGATTCCACATAGAAAGAGTTCTGCCGTATTTTGCCTTACATATTCAAAGAGCTATATTATCGGCAAACGCAATATAGTCAAAGCAAATTACTGAAAATTTTTGTGACAACTCATTTGAGATAATTTAGGTTCTCTTATTGTTGATTTGTGAATATAGTTCTTTTGTCTGGGTCAATGCATTTTTAGTTCCAGCTTCAATTACTTGCATCTGTGCCAAGGAGATAAAAGCTTATACACTATTTTTTGTAGGTGTTTCCTTTTTGGTTTTCTTGTCTCCCCTTGATATCAGTTTTCCAAAATAATTATTTGTTGTCGTCGTGTTGCTGATAAAGTTTAGGCATCTTTAACAGGTTATAAATTTCTTTGTTGGCCTCTTCTTCTTGCGTTTACTGGAGCAAATTGGGCCCTTAGTCTTGTATACAATCTTTGGAAGCTTTTGTTTAGTGGCTGTGTTTTTTGTGGAGAAAAACGTGTTGGAAACAAAAGGAAAATCACTCCAAGAGATTGAGATTGCACTTATGCCTCCAGAGTAAAGGTAGATTGTTTTCATACTGTTTCCTGGATTAGTCTTCTGTGTACAATTTTTTTTTTATATATAAAAATAAAATTAATGGGTAATTTGTATTGCTTGGAATAACCTTGTATGTGATGGTTTATTATTATGACACTTAAAAAATGGGACCTATTTTCCTCATAAGGCTTTTTCTTGACATAATGGTTTTCAACTTTGTAAACTGTGGTTCGACAATTGTGCCTACGCCACGGCTGCACTAGGAGTTCTTATTAGGAATTTTTAATAGACCGCTACAAATACAAGAGATTTTGTCTATATTACGGGTCTATACACCTAGCTCAATATTCTGTAGATCTTTCAGAGGCTCTGCCCCCGAGCCCCCACAAAGGGCGCTGCTCCCCTGACCCCTGCACTTGCCAAGTTCGAGACCATCATCTGCGTAGTGCCTTAAACTAGGGGCCACATCCACATCAGTCTCTACAACTTAACAAACTATTCCAAAATCCAGTAGAATATGAAACTCTAAATGCCTTGATTCTGTGCATGTTAGCTTGGCAACAACATTTATTTGAGAGCTTGGTCCAGCATCTTCAACCCTCAAAATGACCAACAGTGGACACCATGTTTATCTTTTCAATCTTGGCTACCTGTTACCTACTTTCATGTTGTCTTTGCTTCATCCACAATAGCTATTTGCTTCTTGCTATTGATAAGTTTTTAGTTTTCATTAGAAACCAAAGGATTACTTTATCCAGTTGGTGATACTTCAACTGCAATAAAAAATTTCAATTTTTATGCTATTATAATTTGATTTCCCACAAGCAGCTGGCTTTGTTCAGGTTTTTTGGACTGAGAAACCCACATATTTTGCATTAGGTGCTACAATTCGTGGCTTTGTTTGGCTGCAATTTGCTATTCCTTTTATAGCTCTATCTTGCTTTACACTGCATGTGTAACTGGCTTACTTTACCCAGTTTGTGATACTTCAGCTGCAATAAAAAATTTCAATTTTTATGCTATTATAATTTGGTTTCCCACAAGTAGCTGGCTTTGTTCAGGTTTTTTTGACTGAGAAACCCACATATTTTGCATTAGGTGTTACAATTAATGGCTTTGTTTGGCTGCAATTTGCTATTCCTTTTATAGCTCTATCTTGCTTTACGCTGCATTTGTAGAACGAGTTTCTTTTTCTTTTATGTTGGGGACAATTTTCAGTTTAATTTGTCGTGTGATTGTTTCTGTTCCCTCTATATTTGTCCACAGCACGAAGATTAAAATAATTTTTTCATCCATATCTGCTCTTATTTCTGTAATTATGCACTGGAGTTGGCTTCAAGGCATGATGAGCTGAATTTGGCTGATTATTCTATTTGTTCCAACAAACAGATCAACTTGAATATAAGAATTAATAACCATTTTTCCTATTTTGTGTCACAAAGCATGGCTTACCTCTTAGAACATTTCCAGCCATGGCTGAAATGATTTTTGATCAGGATATGAATATTCTGTTTGGCTTTTGTAATCCATCAGAAGTGTCTTATTATTATTATTACTTTGGATAAATCTGACCTTGGGAATCATGTTGATTTGCAGACTAAGGGATATCAAGTTGAATGTTCCTATGCCTTTGCGTCAATTTTGCCTTGTTCTGGTTTGGAGCTAGACTTTGGAGTCGGCCAGACCATGGTATGTGGATAACTTGGAAATACATTGATAATGTGCTCACTCTGGAAGGCCTGTGTATAGTATTTTTTATTTTTGTACACCAGGATACTTCACGAGCACATCGGTGTTTGTTCCAAATTTTCCACCACAAATGATTGAAGCAAAGTAGAATTGGTAGTAGAACTTGGGTCCTATCAACAAATAATATGCCTTGCATGTATAACCGTGTTAGTAGCTGACTCTATTCCATGCAAGATAGAACAGATGTGTGTTTCCAGGTGATCTTGGGCTGTTGTTGCCAAAAGAAATTGCAGAAATTCAAGAACAGTATTTTTGAAAATTAAGAAAATTCTGATACTGCTCAACTTATATTATTATTTTTTTTTCTGGACACTTCTCTGCTAAAACCTACATTTCACTTCAAGCATGAAATCTCTCTCTCTCTCTCTCTCTAATCATGAAAAAGGGGAAGGCTTTTTTGTTATTTTTTTTAATGTAAGTTGCCAGATCCTGATTGGATGGTTAGTACTAGTTTCTTAGGGAAAATTAGTTGTCTTGTTGAATCCCTTTCTTCTTGTGTTGTTCCATACAGGATTGTGTGAGCAATTTGTTCTGCGCTTTAAAACAGAAAGGGAAGTGTGAGAATTCGAGTTCTGTTACTTAGCCCAAGAGAAAATGATATAGTAATGACGAAAATCCAATCTTTTCTGAACAAAAAGCAGCAGGAATTCCTTTTACCAGATATTTGAGAGTCTCGTGGTGAAGATTAATTGCTTTATAATCTTTATTTTTCTTCTCCTTTTCTCTTATCATTCCAAAATGTTTTTTCTTTTCATAGAAAGATTATTAGATTTCCTTTAAAAAATAAAAGATTCTAGGCTCTAGAGCGATTGAAGTCAATTACTTATCCAGTGATGTTTAACGTTGCTCTAAGGGGTCATTTCTTATGGGATATCTTTTTCCACCAAGCAATTTAGGATATCAAATATATTTGTTTTTATTTTGTTAAAAAATGTTAAATGTCAAGAAATTTGAGATGTTTTAGAACATCATATTTCTTCGAGGGCATTTGGTATGGAAATATCTTAAACATCTCCTACGAAGTAATTTTAGATGCCACAAATGGATTTATTTGTTTTGTCTCGAATGCTAAGAAATTTGATATTTTTAAGATATTATATTCTTTGTAAATCTAAAAATGAGATGCTCAAGAGAGAATGTGAAACATTTTTTTTTTTTTACTTTAAAGCTCTTATTTTTTTATTTGAAATCGACTAAGTGGTCGTTGCTTGTATCAATAATAACACAATTATCATTACACTTTTAACACTTATTTTTCAATGACTTTAATATAATATGCATGTTATGTAATTTTTTGATAGATTCATTATTTTACTTGGTAGTTATAGTTTTTTTTTTTTTTTTGGTAGTTATAGTTTATAAAATTAATTTTATAGTTGAATCTATTTCAACATATTGGTTTTAAATGTAATTAATATATTATATATGTATTTATGTGCATAATTATTTAAGAAAAAATCAAATTGACAAATTATATATCTTAAATCTTGCGAATAAAATAGTAAATTTCTTTAAATTTCTCATGAATTTTCATGAATGAACTAAACGCAATAAAAACACATTATTAGGAATTTTTAATTTTAATCAAACACAAATATCACATTTTCAACACTAACATTTTAAGAAAATATCTAAGAATGCATATACCAAATACCCTAAGCATGGATGGAATGCCTTCTAAAATAGGGAATCACATTCCCTCATGGGAGGTAATGTGATTATTATTATTATTATTATTAACAATGTACACTATGTTATCCATAATTATTTAATTATAATTAACACATTATATATGTGTTTTAGAAAAAAAGATTATCTTATTGACAAACTAGACATTTTAAATCTCAAAAATAAAATATTAAAATAATTTAATTTTTTCATGATTTTTTATAGATGACATATGATCATGGGTTCTAATATATTCCTCACAATCAGAATTCCAGTAGGATAAGTAAGAATGTGTATAACAAATTAGCTATTTTATATCCATAGTAACTTCCCCATGTTGACCCCTTCTCATTCCCTAAAAACGACACTGGATTAATTCTCGTTTTAAGTTTCCAAAAAACATTTTCAAGGATATTCCGTGATAGCTGTTCCCTCAATCTCTAAGCAACAGAGGTTTAATTAAGTCTTGAACAGATAGATCATCTCTAATCCATACGTATCAGGTATGCATATATGTGTACAAGGCATTCATTCCCGGTATTTCTACTCTCTTTTTGGCTGCTAAGAGAATAGAATTTTGTTTAACAAAAATCAATTAGGAACTCCCCTCATTTCAAACAAACAATAGTTATTTATGTATACCAAGTACGATTTTCTTTAATCTTTTTTTTTTTTTTTTTTTTTGGCCTTCGTTAGCTTGATTGCTAACTTGAGTTGGGTGTTTGATCATGGTTTGTTGTGGGTTTTGAGGTGTATATTATGTGTTTGATAAAATACCTCACTGAGAATTCAACAAAATGAAGTATTCTAAAAAGTTTTTTTTTCCCTTTCTGTTTTGTTAGTTACTTTCAAGTTGGATGATATTTACCAATTATGGAAAGCAAAGGAGACGAGGAATTGAAGAAGACCCAGGTGGTGGATGCTCGAGCAAGGAATATCAGTCACAATGTTAGGTGCACTGAATGTGGGAGCCAGTCCATTGAAGATTCTCAAGCAGATATTGCAATTCTCCTCAGGAAGGTATAAATAAGCATTATCATGGAGTAACTTTAACATCTTGTAAATGTTCCGATCAGAATTTTATTATTGTAATGCTGCTTTTCAGTTTTTTATTTTCTATTTCTATGTTTTGGTTCTCATTTTAATTGGTTTTAAACCTTTGTTGATGGCTGCAAAGGACGCTTCCTATGTGCATGGAAACTCTCAAACTAAAGAATTGTAGCTGGGTGTAGTAGTTTTCGCATGTTTTCAACTACACATGTAATAAGCAACTTTTGTCTAACCGCGTTTATTAGTCTGATGATAAGATCCGCCGTTCTCACGAGAATTATCAAACAGTGACAATTTAGTGAATGGTTTCTTGTTTAGGCTGATAACTTGATCCATCATTGCTACTATCTAGCATGCTATCTGGTTAGTTTTCTATTTTTTGCGACGTTGTTTACCAGACTAGAATTCTGGTCACTCCTTCCTTTGATACTTATCCCGTCTTAATGTTTTTTCTAATTGTCTTGCTGTCTGTTATCATGCAAAACCCACATGCTGATCATATTTGTGATTTAGTTGATCCGTGATGAGATTCAAGCTGGGAAAAGTGACAAAGAAATCTACAAAAAGCTTGAGGATGATTTTGGGGAGACAGTACTTTATGCTCCAAAATTTGATATGCAGACTGCGGTCTTGTGGCTTTCACCGGTCAGTTAAAGAGCTTAGAAGTACCATCTCTTAGTAACAATAGAACTTTTTCCTTAAGTCCATACTTATAATACGAGGTTTTGGACAGTTTCTAGTTGCAGGTGCTGCTGGAGGATTATGGGCTTACAAAAAACACAGGCAAAATACCAATGTTCACATCATGGCTCTGGACCTAGTTAGAGGTGTTCCATTGACCCCAAAGGAGAAGGAAACTATGCTGGATATTCTTACACCTCCTCTCCCAGGAGGAACTACTCCTTCCTCCTGGTGGAGAAGGTGGATGGGTCGTTAACGTGTGTTTTTCGCCTTGACCGGTTGCTTTTGTACTTGGCTCAGTACTCTGATGGGTTAGTACCCTGGTAAGTGTGAAGGATTGCCGATCAACTTGTTGAAATGAGGTTGGCCTTGGTCATGAGGAAGAAGTTTGATTGTCCCTATGATTTTGTGTTATAACCAGAAATCAAATTTATAATTCTTCACGATATCATGCCTGCTTATATCTTATTATTCGATTTCTCCTGTTCGAATATTTGATCCATATCACATTAAACTGATGCTTTAGTTGTAAGTTATAAATTTTGCATTCACATATCTGAATCAAACGGATTCCCTTGGCTGCCAAGCCTCCAAATTTTTTTGTTTATTTCTGTTCTATTTTCTTCCTTCTCTAATTTTTGTCACTCCAGAGCAATTATGTGTACTTCATCAATGCAGTTCCACAATAGCGAATATGCAGAATATCATAATCAACAAGCAAATTTAGCTGCTCAAATCAAAGTCATGTTTAAGATTACTATCTTTGTTATCCAAGTTTGTCAAGTTTCTTAACTATTTGATACCAGTCGCATGTCATCTGTAATTTTGGGTTGGCGGACAAATAGAGTTGTTAGCTTCTTAGCTACCAGCTAGGGGGTGACAACTTGATCTGATCCGCTACATGCTCCTCAATAGTTTGCCTAATTAAGTTTACCTCAAAAAAAAGAAAAAAAAAGGAAATTTGCGCGAAGTCGTGAAAAAAAAAAAAAAAAAAACTGCGGTATGTATCGTAACTTTTTTTATTATAGAAAAACAAGTGAAATATTTTTGTTTGCGGAAAATAGATAATATTTTTTTCCCCTTAATTCATGGCTATTTGAAGTTACAATAACCCATATTTATCTCGACAAGCATGTTAAAAATTAGATTTCCAACAATATTGGTTGGGAAAAACTCGCCTTGACTTGAATAATTAGATAGTATTATTTTAATTTTTAATTTTTCTACTATATACCTCAATGATTAAATAATTAACATAAACCAGTATTTTTTTTTTTCAAAAGAATATGTGAACCAAACCTGGTGACCATACATTATAAACATGTGCCTCTTACAACTACCAACTAGGTCGTGTATTAATTTTTCTTAAGAAAAAAAAATGAAAATGAAAATTCGAATACCAAACCGCCCAAATCCAAAAACTGTAATTGCAGCTCATGAAGATTCCCGCTAACTACCAACGACATACCATGCTGTCTTAAAACTTGATTATTATTAATACAACCTAACTGTAAAGTAGGTTTGAGACAGACCAAATTAATTTTGACCGCAGCATCACCTAAATGTGCTCCTCATTTAAAGCTCTGTCCAAACGTTTCAAGAACATCAACTACTTTTCCTCTCTTTATTACTCTACTTATCGTCTATGCCGCGACCCTCTCCCTTCCTCTTCTCTCTTTCTTACACCACTTCGCTTCTCTTCTTCTTCTCGTTTTTTTTCGTGTACGTAACTTATTTTGGTTTTTTTCCACTTTCTGTTTGATGAAATGCCTAGCTCATGATACAGTTTTGTTTGTTTTATTGGATGACCAATTTTTTTTTTTTTTTTGGTTCCTCTCTTTCTTGGATCATCGTCGATGGATCAATGTAGAAATTCAATTGTGCCCTTTGATTTTTTGTTAAGAATCCTGCATGTGATTCTATATACTGAATTGAATTTTGAATGTTGTGGTAGAAGAAGCTCAATTATGGTAACATTTTGATTGCTGTTCGTTTTGCAGCATCACATCCTGGTGCGTTTATGGAGGTTATCAAGACAGTTTATAGGCAAGGGACTGCAGCTGCTGATAGCATTGCTATCAGAGCTGATCAGAAAAGTTATAGTTACAAACAACTCATCTCATCTGCATGGGAGATATCCAATCTGTTATGTAACAGCGGCTTAGGAACCGTGAGTTGAAATTAACCTTTTGATTAACCTCTTTCTGGAAAAAAAAAAAAAACAAGACTTTGTAGAGGAAACAGCAAATTCTGTTCATGAGTTTGTGATCAATAGTTTGAATTTGAAGAATTCTGAAATTGAATTATGAATGAAATGTGTTTTGATCAAATAATTACTCTTATTTACCATTAGAAGCCTGTTATTGTTAAATTGGTGCAACCACCACTGCGATGAGGCTGTGTAATGACATTGAAAGTTTATAGTATTCACCTCACTATCTCTGTCTTTTAGTTGAAGTTACGCATTGAATATTCAGACATCTGATGCCAGAAAACATGAAAATCTGTTCTGTAGGTTGATGATGTTGGAGGACATAAACATCTTGGTGGAGCTCGAATAGGAATTGTGGCTAAACCGTCAGCAGAGTTTGTTGCTGGGATACTAGCAACTTGGTTTAGTGGAGGTGTTGCAGTTCCACTTGCACTCAGCTACCCAGAGACCGAGCTCTTGCACGTGATGAATGATTCTGTATGCCCCTGAATCCAGTTCATGTCTCATTTTTTTTTTTTTTTTGCGAAGTTACTTTATTGTCTAAGATCAACAGTGCTCTTACTAAATAGTCTGGATTTCATTTTGATATTTGAACTTTTAGATGACTATTTGACACATCAGAATTTTCTTTATGAATTACATTAAATCTGTATCCGGCTCCCTATGTGTTACTTCTGTTCACAATTTTCTTGTTTGCTTATCCTTCTAACAGTACATTGGTGAAATTTTATACAGTTCATCCTTATGATTTCTCCCTCTTAGAAAGATGTCATCAGTGGGCTTTTCTCTATAAGTTCCATAATGTAGTACAACAATGGCAAAATTGGCAGCATGCGTCAGAAAAGACCAGTGTGATGAAATATTTTTTTGCTTCATGCTCTCCTGCACAATCTTCATTAACATCTTTAGTTTTTCTGTGCACCAATTCTTATGGATCGCTTATTTATATGTGAGTTTTAGGAGATATCCATGGTACTTAGTACTGAAGATCATCAGGAGTTGATGCAAAATGTTGCTGGTAAATGTGCTGCTCAGTTCTCCCTCATTCCTTCTGTTGACAGAATTTCTTCACAGGAAAGTGTATGTGATCATTCACAAATTGAAGAAATAGCTTCAGACAAAGGTTATCATTCTTCTTCTTTTCCTGAGAAATTTTGAGAACTTAAATAAGACTAGATGATTCACAGTTTTGTAGTTTTTTATGAAGTTCCATCTTGTAGTAGCATTGCATATGGTTGCCAACTTATTTTTTTCATATGAACTTCGTGCTATTCATTGATATAGGTGACAATCCAGCATTAATTATATACACAAGTGGAACCACAGGGAAACCTAAAGGTGCAGTTCACACGCACAAAAGCATCACTGCTCAGGCATGTATTCAAATGTCCTATACCTCTTGATTTTGGGCATCCCATCCTGAATTAGTATCCTTATTCTTGGACATACTCAGACAATTGCTTCTCTTTTATGGTTATGAAGTAGACTGGTCTAGAACAGCCAACAATAACACAAATCAAGAGAACAAATTATCTGAGAGAAAAATCAATTTATGTTGATTATCAATATCCAGCGTTATACTGAATATCTTGGTAGCGTGCATATTTATAGACACCAAACCAAATAAAAAGAAGAAAACCAAATAATAGTAGGAAAACCTTCTAAATAGTCCTAAAAATTCAATCTTGCAGTCCCACTTCAAGAACATTCTCATATCATAGATATGATCAATGTAGAAATTACAATTAATGATGTCGGTTGTCAACATTCAACTGTAGAAGAATTATTGATGTCTTGTAAATCTATTAATGGATTGTGGACAGCCATTCTATAGATTGGTTGTTATTGCTAAGCAAAAAAACAAAAAAAAAAAATTAGCATTATTTGATGCGTACTTCGATAATCAGTATAATAAGGACAAGGCATGTAAATTGGATAGTATTTTTGTTCTCAAGTTAAGTTGAGTTTATTTCTTATTTAATGCTTGATTTTGGTGTTAACTTTGTGCAATTTTGGCACAATTTGCAGGTTCAAACTTTGGCAGATGCTTGGGAATATACATCCACTGATCAATTTCTCAATTGTTTACCACTACATCATATCCATCAAATTGCAGTTATTTAGTTTGCTATTTTGCTTTGCAAATGATATGGGTTGAGCATGCTTCTTGCTGATGTTGTCATTTTCTTCTATAGTTGATTTGAAGATTTTACATGAAATTGATCCTTAACTTATAATTTACATGTTCATGGATTTTTCAATGCTCTATTTGCCCCTATCTATGCAGGCTCCACGGTAATTTTTTTCATATTTTTTGTTCCTGTACAAATTCACATACATGGTCCTTTTGAACAATTATAGTTCATTTGGTAATATTGGTTTTGTTGTTATAATATCTTATCATGTTGTTGAAGGTTGAGTTTATGCCAAAATTTAGTGTGCGGGGAGTCTGGCAAAGATGGGGTGAATCATATCCTACTAAGGGGAGTAAAGCTGATGATGCTATAACGGTGTTTACTGGAGTAAGTTTACTGTTTACAATCGTATGCATGTATAGATCAGTTATTTTAACTTACCGAACTTCTTCCGTTTTATTTATTCAATCTTCCATGCTTTTACTGCATAGTGAACATGGAGCACTGTCTTAAATCATGGTTATTAGTTGCTGTACTTACAATTACTCTCTGGTTTTATATTCTTTAAGTTCCTGGCTTGCAATTTTTTTTGGTTATTGAATCAGCTAAGGTGGTCTTTGTGCTGCTTTAAGTCAATTTTGGGCATTGATGTCATTATTAGTGACAAGAAAGGAGGCATATTATTTAGTTTTTGCTTATGACATGGAATTAGTTATCTTGGAGATGCAAAGGGAAAAAACTTAATGTAGTTTTTCCTTTCTCTTGGGCTTAGGCCCCTATTCAAAAAAAAAAAAAAAAAAAAAAAAAAAAGACTTAATAAAATTAGCCTATAGTATAGTGCAGTTGCATTTCTATTCTGGGTTTTGTGTTCATTTATGTCTGCACTTTAGTACTATTACAATTGTACACATAAAATTCCAATGCAGGTTTTATTACAGCCTTATGAATTTGTAACATATAGGTTCCAACTATATACACTCGATTGATTCAAGGTTACGAAGCAATGGACCCTGATCAACAGGCAGCTTCTGCCTCTGCTGCAAGACAGTTGCGGCTGATGGTAAGTACCCTGGAAAATCTAGTGTTGTTCATGTTCAGTGAAAATGCAAAGAAACAAGTTGCTGAAGAGTAGACACTTGGTTAATTTATCTCGACTAGAAGTCACGTGACTATTTGTTCTACTTATAGCATTTTAGATTGTTGGGTTCTAGAAGTGCAACTGTTCCTGCCAATCTCATTGATTTTTTGTTTTGTCAAATAAAACTACGATCATAAGATAAATTCCCCATTGCCTTTTCCAGATGTGTGGCTCCTCTGCTCTCCCGCTTCCTGTCATGCAACAATGGGAAACCATCACAGGTCATCGCCTTTTGGAAAGATATGGCATGACTGAGGTAAATGGTCTATTTATTTATAACAAAGTGCACAGTATATTATTTCTACATACATTCTGATTTGTGCAGTGTTGTGGTTGTCTTAGTTTGTCATGGCAATATCAAATCCCTTAAGAGGTGTGCGGAAGGCAGGGACTGTTGGTAAACCATTTCCCAGAGTGCAGGTTTGTATGCTAAGAAATGATTTCTTTTCCTTTTTATTGCAGTGCTTTTCCTCAGAAACATTTTCTTTTGTACTTTTGTTAGGTCAAGATTGCAGAAGAGCAGAATGAAAATGACGCAACGGGAGTGGGTGAACTCTGTGTCAGAAGTCCTTCCATGTTCAAGGAATATTGGAAACTTCCTCAGGTGCTACATGTCTTCTTTTCATATTATTCTTCCCTTCCTTAGTGGCTACCTATGATTCCATTTTCATTTTTCAACAAACTGTTCTATTCAGGACAACATGGATGAGTTCTGCTATTATTAAAGCTAAACCTGTTTTATATTTTCAAAGATGTCTGCAATGTGAAGTTCTGTATATTTATTTCTCTACCTTTCTGATCGAGAAAGATGTATCTTCTCTGAATATAGAATTAGAAAACATAGCTGATAGAAATTATTTCGTGTTGAATTTGTTGAAAGAAATTAGTACTTGTCCCCTTGCAGATATAGAGATTTTGTTTGGCATTTAAGAATTACAAACATTATTTCCTGAATCTTAGTGTTTCATTAGCTTCGTTTCAGAATTAAACTATATCATGAAAATGTTCAACGCTCATATAATGAATTTCTGTACTGTTCTTGCTGCTTCCATAATTGTATGTGTGGCACTAAATATGGTCTGTATAATTTTTTTGCTAATTTTAGGGATGCAAACAATATAATCAATCCACTGGAAACCATATAATCAATACTGTTGTGGTTCAATTTATGCTGTTGATTTACATCATTTGACTGCTTATAAACTGGCTTGGATAACTTGATTATGCTCGTCAGGTTCAATTCTGTTTCTTTTAGTTTCTTTGGATGTTTTGGGCAGGAACATCTTTTATAAGAAACATCCTTTTTTAAAAAAAAAATTCTCATGGTATGACTTTATAGCATATGTGATGATAATTGGAGTTTTATGCATTATAGTGTGTTAGATATATATGGTCTAATTGATGATTGATAAAAACTTATTTAGAGCAATGAAGTTGTAATAAGTTTTTAACTGACTAATTTGCTAATTTGTGATTATCCTGTAGGTAACTAAGGATTCATTTACTGATGATGGCTTCTTCAGGACTGGGGATGCTGTTAAAATAGATGAAGATGGTTATTATGTTATTTTGGGACGTAAGGAGATCTAAATTCCTATATCAATTGATGATTACTGATGTTTTTGTTTTCCTCCTTGTTTTCCTTTAAGAATATGCCTGTTGCACTAGATGAACTCTTATATTCCTTTTTCATGCTGCATATTATATATTACACATTAGACTTTTCTTACAATATGCTATGCCTAAAACGCTCATTATTTTTCTGTTGATTGTTGTGCTTGTTTCCTATCTAATTTAGAATGGTTGTTCTTCAATTCTTTCTTTCTTTTGTCCTCAGCTAATTTAGACATGCTCTGCATGTGTAAAAAACTAATGGATAAATTACAGGGTTCAGTTCCATTTCTATCTTCTCATTCTAAATTGTCCTTCAAAGAAAATGGCCATAAAATTTACAATTAACAAACAGCTGATTTCAACATTGTCAATCTACTAATACCCAATATGTATTCAATAGAATTTCCTGCAATGACTAATTATATCTCCAAACTATTATATTACCAAATTTATAGTGTCCCTTAGTTCCCCTATATATGTGTGTTTTTATGTTATAGTTTTATAGATAAGACACAGCTTCTGCTGTTGAATCTCCTATAGTTCACTTCTAAAGTCTCATCTTCATCACATACCCTTCATTTACTAGTCAACATTTGCTTCTAAACAACTCCAAGACAATGTTCTACCCGAAAGATGATGTACTGCCCTCAAACATGTATCAGAAGAGTGGCATGCAAGTTTAAGAGTGCATGCAACAGTTCTTTCTTCCCTCTTGCCAACAAAAACTTTAGCATCGTTGTCTCCACTGAGGGAAGGGTGGTGGTTGGGGTTGATGAGTTGGTTGGGGAGAGTGTTTCTTAGCAATATATGTTTAATGTATCTTCTTCTTCTTTCTTTTTTCCGGGTTAGTTACTCCCTGATAATATATGTTTAATGTATCTTCTTCTTCTTTCTTTTTTCCGGGTTAGTTACTCCCTGATAATATATGTTTAATGTATCTTCTTCTTCTTTCTTTTTTCCGGGTTAGTTACTCCCTGATGGCATTGAGCAAGCTGCTATTTTGTTGATTGTCTAATAAACATAGAAAAACAAGTTTGCACCATAACCACAATGACTTGGAAATTTATGGAGATTTCTGCTCACCTGTTCTTTCAATTGAAACTCATTAGGCTTTAATGTTTCATATTAGGTACAAGTGCGGATATTATGAAGGTTGGGGGATACAAATTATCTGCATTAGAAGTTGAATCGGCACTTTTGGAGGTAACTGCTTTTCATCCTCTCCATTTTGATACCTTGGTCATAAACAGATTCTCTATTATAGATCATCTTGTTTGTCAATTGTTTTATGCATAGAGAATGAATATATATATATATATATATATAATATGTTCTAAGAAAGAGAGTTTTGTAACCACAAATTTCTTGTCTTATACAGCACCCAGCTGTTGCAGAATGTTGTGTGTTGGGTTTGCCTGACGAAGCCTATGGAGATGCTGTGTGTGCTGTAATTGTGCCAGATGAAGCAACAAAGAGAAAACAAGTGGAGTCATCAAAACCTGCTATCAGCTTGGAAGAACTATGTGAGTGGGCTAAAGACAAACTTGCACCATACAAGGTATCGCAACATAACCATCTTTCATTTCTCACATTTCTGTGGAAATATATGGAGTTTCAATTTGTTGGAGGAATGCTTTTCTCTCTTTGGTCATGCTGCAATATGCGGATCATTATTTGGAATGATGAAAAACTGAAATCTCACTAGTTTTGAAGCTTTTTGAATTATTTAACTGGTGGTCACTGAGGTTGCATTCATTAAAGCTGAAGAGAGCTTATTTATGCGTTGGGCTGACTAGAAGTCACTACCAAGTGTTTGTTATCTTTCATGACACAGCCTAACCAGAAGCTTAGTTTAGAAGAGCTTCATTAACCATTTGAATATGTTGAAAGCTGTAAGGTCAAATACTGTTCTCTGCATACGCTGGAGAAAAACAGCCACAGCTCTTTTATCCTTTCTGTTAAAGCTTTTGGTATGACAAATTGAATTTCCCAATAATCTATTTTCTCCATTTTCCTTTTGAACCCCAGGGCTTTCGGTATCAGTATTCCTTTCAGGTTTCCAGTTATCATAGTTTTTTTTTTTTTTTTCTCTGTGTCTTGGTTCTCATAGTTGAGCATGAAGAAGAACTTGATCTTGATGAAAACATGTATCCATGTAGCTCTTTGTATAATTCATCAAATGCCGAAAACAATATTTGACCTTTCGCAACTCACAACTAACATTTTCTCTTCATTTTCCAGCTACCTACTCGATTGTTTCTGTGGGATTCACTGCCTCGTAATGCCATGGGAAAGGTGCATTACTTTCATGAGTTTCAACTGATTTAAGACAATTTGCCAAAATACTTTCCCGCACAAGCGATCCTTTTCACACCTCTGATTACCACTTTTTTGCCAATCCAGGTAAACAAAAAAGAGTTGAAGAAAGTTCTTGCGGCTGAACAATAAATTTGCTTGTTGCAAAGCCAAATCATTAGATATATGGAGCATTCCACATTGGAATACAGAGTTGCACTGAAGGGAGCAAACATCTGCCGTACGTGTGGGCTGATATTGTTGAAACACAGACAATTAAGACATGAAAAGAGTTTCAAAAGCAATCAATTGTTCAGGCGATTGAATTGCATCTTTTGTTGGTAGTTATATGATGTAGGTCGGGTTAATGACAGCAATTACGCTATGCAGTTGTAACTTCTATAGAACCAAAATCTCCTAAAAAAAGTGGCAATTTGAAAAAAGAAGTCCGGATAATATTCATCTGCCATGTCACTATATCATTTATCAATCTAATATCCAATCTATTTTCAATTATATATAGCTATAACATCAATAGCAGATGTACTTTTTAATTTATTTAAGCTTTACTTACAATTAATTTAAATAGTAAAGAGGGTTTTGATGTGTACGGATATATGTGTGTGTGCAAGGGATTTAATCGTCAACGACTCATTCATACACGTAATTTGATATATTACTAAGGACCATAACTCCTAATTTACGAACTAAAGCCAAGTCAAGCTTGTTGGAAAAATCTTGCAAGGCCAAAATGAAAATTAGAGAAGTTTTGGCATTCGAATTTTTCACCTTGGGTGTTAACTATCAACCCTTTTATCAATCGCCGTCTCTAACAGTGGAGTAGTCTCTGCACATGCATTGTGCAAAGAAAAGATTAAGATTGGCATGTGGTGGGAGACAGCAAGGTGGTGCTCAGGCATACATCACTAGGAATGGCAATGGCCATCTCTGCCCCCGCACCCCTTGAAAATTTTGCTCCATCCCCGCCTTGTGCCTCGCGTAGGGTAAAATTTATCATAGCATTCCCGTTTCAAACAAGCACAGGGATCCTCACTAGTTCTCCATTTGATTTTTTTTAATCTCGTCTTATTCCGTTCTATTATTAAATTTCAAATTATAGTTAAAAGGTAATGTTTTATATAAAAATAAATTCTAAAAATCAATAATTATAGATTTTATATAAAATATAATTATAATTTTAAGAATGAAATAAGATAAATGAGACGAAACGGACAAATACCGTTCTCGTTTCATCTTCGTTAAAAATAAATACGAGACGTCTCATCCTGTTCCGTGGGCCGTGGCTCTATCGGGAGGTGGCAAATTTCTATCCCTAACATCACCTAGGTTAATGGCAACAATTGCATGGTTGGTGGCATACCATGTAAGACTTTTAAGTATTGCCCTTTTTTCTCTTTTCATTGAGCATCACAGTCATCGATAATAGTCCCAATTTTTCTACACATACAAGTACATACACGTGTCCATTTTATCTTCCAGCTTTCGATTTCTCCACCGACATGCACGATGTCCTACTAGTTCCGAAGGGATCTTTCGATGCATGCACATTTTCAAACTCTATTGAAGACAATTACTACAGGTTATGTGAACGTTACCCTTGACTCTATTGGGAGCACTAATATATTTGTACTGCTGGCAGTCATCGTCAGTTTCGAAAAAAGCTAGCTATCACTGTCTCATCGAGCACAACAGGCGCCTCGCCACCCTCTACAACCCCTAGAACAGCTCCAGTACCAAAAACCACTCCATCGCCTTCTTCAAATTGTATACCGACTGATTCTGCTCCAATACCAGCAACAAGCCCCAAAAGCTCAATAACGCCAAAGTCACCGATCCCAACCGTCCCTCTTCCACCAGCCGGTTCATCGTCTTCTACTGTTTTGGCAAGTTTCTTGGTTTCCATGTTGGCTGCTGTCATTGGTTTGGTTTTTTAGGATTATGTATGCAGAGGGATTTGTATATATAGCTATAATACTTGTTGTTTTTAATTAATTATGGTTTGATGGAAATTCATTAGGGTTTGTTTGTTGTACGAATTATTTTAGCATTCTGATGGAGTTTTCCTTTTATCCTTTTCGATTGTACATACATGAGAGAGGATATTTATTTACAAGGATGTTTCTGTCTTTTAAGCTCCAAAGCTCAGACTAATTTTTCGTTGTTTAATTGAATACCAAAAGGGAGTACAATTATCTAAAGAGTTTTTGACATATATAAGGATTCAAACTCAAGACCATTTACTTAATATATTTGACATATATAAGGACTCGAACTCAAGAACATTTACTTAATATATTAGAACCTTTTTCATTCAAATCAACCGTCTTAGATGATATATTGGTTGTCATTTCTATGATCATTAAGTTTTAGATAATTCAACCATATAACAAAACTCTTTTTAGCACATAAAACAGACCCACCAAGATATTATTCTATTTCCTCAAAAAAAAAAAAAAAAAACACAGCCAAGATGTTATTCCAGCATATATTACATTATGTTTTATATGAAAATATTAATTCTACTATATAATTTTGAATGAGACAATACGCTAGCGCTTTTTTTAAAAGTACTGTTTGAAAATTCGGTTTTCATTTTATTTTGATCCTATGATTTAACCTCAAGAAATCAAAGAAGGGAAAACAAGTCTCCTTAATCATCCTTCAACTCCTTAAAATTTTTTATAATAAATATAATGAATGTGATATGTATGCTAAAAAGAGTAATTGGTTTGCTCCATTATTTTTTCTCCAATACCATTAAAAAATCATCTAGTACAAGGACAAAATTGAGAACAATTAAACTTGTCAAGATATGTTGGAGAATGAACTAAAATTTAGGGATAGGTTGAGTTAATTTCTCGAAAACGAGATATGATAATATGTTAGGTGCTTGAACTTCTTCCATTTTCACAATTGGATGTCTTCACTTTAATTTTAATCAATTGAGGAGTCCCTTTGATGATAACAACATAATCAAATATCTGGATTGACGTTTTTAGAAATTTATTGGCATCTTTGTTAAATAATAGACACAAAATCTTACAAGAAAATTAGGACCAGTGTCATTTTAGGTATGTCATGTCACCAATTAAGTCTAGAAATACATATTTACAATCCAAATTTTATATTCAAAACGCATCTTAAAGAAAATTCTTTTTTTTTAAAAAAAAAGATTCCATATTTTATGCATATATAACATTTTTCTTAGCTTGTAGTTAGATTAGGCTAAAGAAGTATAATTCTTCTCGACTAATAGCTTCATGATTTAAGTCTAGTAAAGAAAAAAAAAAAACGCATTTCACACTATTCATAAAAAATAAAAAATAAAAAATAAAAATTGAGTACTGTCATCTAACGAGCAAACAATTCCTCTAATTTTTAACGATGGTTTTTTTTTATTTTTATCTTAATTATATTCTTCACTTTAAACTTGATTGTTGCCTTAATTTTTTATTTTTATTTTTGCTTGACCGTCTCTTTGATTCATATGACATAAAAACAAAAGTAGCAAAACGAATGAGCTTCCTCTATCATATAACTTTATTGGCTGTTATGTTTACAACGTAGATCAATTTTCTTATAAAATTTTAGTATTCCTCACAAACGTCCATTTGAGGCATTTGATTGTGCTTTTATCGATAGATGAACAACTCGATTGATAAAAATTAAATTTGCAACACCCAGTTTGGAAAATCTAAAAAGTTCAGACACTTATATATAAGTTGTCTCCCCCAAAATCGTGGTTTCTCTTTCAGTCACGGAAGTATAAATGCCGACCCAAACCCTCTTGCTTCCCTTCCGGTAGAGGCTACAGTAGGGTCGTTCTTTCCTCTTCTACTGTCCAAATGGCTACTTCTGCTATGCAGACTAACGTGAAGCATCCAATCAAACGCATGTTCGGTCTTAAACCTGCTTCCCCGAGACCAAGCGGAATCAGGTGCGCCGCTGCCACCACAAAGCCATCCAAGCGCTACTCCATCACTCTCCTCCCTGGCGATGGCATTGGTCCCGAGGTTATCTCTGTCGCTAAAAACGTACTCAGCCTTGCTGGCTCTCTTGAAGGTTAAAAGCCTGCTAAGCCACACTTCTCTTTCCTCTTTTCTTGGTTCCTGAGAATGCATTTTTTCTGTTTTGAAGAAAATTGGAACTTCAATAATTTTCATATATTCACCATTATATTCAAGTTTATGCATGTATCTGTTGGGTTTCAAAGTTTTATCAATGCTGTTTTGTAGTGACATTTTATTTTATTTTTTAACTATGCTGATTGAGATATATAGCATTTTTTGTAGCCTGTTGAATATTATGCCTAATTTGATTTCAATTTATTGTTATTATTAGTCTGTTTAGTAGCCCATCACTTCTTATAGAAACTGGATTATCAAGTTCAATGTCTGGTCGTGTGTATTGCTCTGCTGATCAAATGAAGTTGAAGAAAAGCGATAAATAAGTAAAGAAATGTATTATCATTAGGGTTACTTGAGAGTGCGAAGTTTATTTTAATATATCTCGATCAGGCTAGGATTGATTGTTTCGTTTCTTTTTTTCTCGTACTGTTTTTAATGGAAGTTTTTGACAGGCCATGGTTTAGGATTTTCCCTAATTATTTGTTTTGTTGCATATGTCAGGGATTGAGTTTAACTTTCAAGAAATGCCTATGGGTGGATCTGCTTTGGATCTGGTTGGAGTTCCATTGCCGGAGGAAACCCTTTTGGCAGCTAAGAAATCTGATGCGGTTCTTCTTGGAGCCATTGGAGGGTACATATCTATTTTCTCCTTCATGGTTCTGATTTTCCCCTGTTTTGGCAATTGTTCTCTAATGATTGCTTTGCTTTGTTGAATTTTGGCTTGAAGGTACAAATGGGATAAAAATGAAAAACATCTGAAGCCAGAGACTGGATTGCTTCAGCTTAGAGAAGGTCTTAAGGTCTTTGCAAATTTGAGGCCAGCAACTGTTTTGCCGCAGGTAGCATTTGATTAGATGAGATTTTAATTTACTGTTTGTTTGCTTTGTATTTTTTCTGGTATGTTTGTGATTCTATCGCTCCCAAGTTAAGCTAGTTTAAAAGAATCCTATAAAAGGGCAAAAATTAATATATTAATCAAAGCCGGCTTTATAATATATGTGGCCCTAGGCAAAATAATATTTTAGAGACTCTTTCATAAAATAAATAAATATTAAACATTATTTAAAATTTATTTTTCTTGCTTTCTCGAGATGCAAAATCTCTAATTAAATTTTTATATTCAAGTTTACAAAGCAAATCTTCTTCAATTGATAATATAGCCAAATTACTTAATCTTTCTTATGACATAGTTGAACGTAAATAAGATTTTATTAATTTTAATTTTGAAAAATTTCTTTCAACCGAAGCTACGAGTAACATTGATAGTTAATAGTATTCTATATATTATCCATGCATTTGAAAAAGAATTTACCTTTTTTATAAAATTTAGTATGACGAGTGGTGTTTTCATTTCCATAATTATAATTTCTTTTAAAACTTTTAATTTTGAAAATAAATCTAAACCATCAAAATTAGAAAGCATATCGTGCTTTAGAAAGTTTTCAAGATTTAAACAATTTTTTTTCAAAATATCATCATCAAGTTATTTTAATTTTTCTACACTATAAAGAAAACCAAAATTATCTTCATATATTTTAAATTGTTTAAACCTATTTTGAAGAGAGGAAATCGCATGATCAACTAAATATGTAAAATAATTAATTCTAAAAGATTCTTTAATAGATAATTTCATGTCTTCATTTTTAATCTCATCAAATTGTTTCTTTATTCTTATTATACGCTTTTCACAAAATTTTAGTTCTATATTCATTTGCTCTGCAATTTCCTTAGCCAAGATCATAGAAGATGTAAACCCATTTTCTCTATAGCTTTTAAAAAAAGAAATAAGACATTTCAAGTGGTCTATTGCAAGAGCAATACTCATATTTTTAGATTGTAAATATTTACTAACCGTGTTAACGAGCAAACAATATATCATACCAAATAATCATGCCTAATAGAAATTCAAAATTTTCAATCTCATATGTTGCTAAAGAAATGACTTCACTTTTTGTTTTAGGATCCTCACTAGTTTACGCTAATTGATATAAAGCATCTCTTATTTGTTGAGCTTGAAATCTAAGCTGTTTTAACACTTTCAATACGACTTTCCCAACGTGTTTGTGATAATGGCTTAAGTGTCAAATTATAAACATGATCTTGCAAAATTTTTCATCTTTTTGTAGAAGAAGAAAATAATGAATATATGCGTTGTGTCACTTCGAGAAAATGTCATAGCATTAGCACATGAATTAGCCATATCACAAAGAACTAAATTAAGATTGTGACAGCCACATGGTGTATAAAATGCTTTAAAATTTATATCTAATAATTTTTTTTGTACACCTTGATGTTTACCTTTTATATTAGACCCATTATCATATACTTGCCCTCTCACATCATTTACATCAAGTTCAAGATTTTTTATCTTACTTGTAAGTTCATTAAAAAGACCTTCACCGGAGCTATCATCCACTTTTAAAAAATATATAAAATACTCTTCTATTTTTGTTGGAATTATCAAAATATCTACACATCTTAATATAAGAGACATATGTTCTTGATGACTTGCATATGGAGTAAAATCAAGTGTAACTGAAAAATATTTTGATTCTTTAATTTTTTCGATAATGGTATTTCTTATTTCTAATGCTAAAATATTTATAAACTCATTTTGTATATTATGACCAAGATAATGCATATGAATATCTCCATTTTGAATACGTCTACGGTGTTCTTGCATTATTAGATCAAACTCGAAATCATTTCAATTAAACTCAAAACATTTCCATTATTGTCTTGATAAATCTTCTCATTCGTACCACGAAATGCCAAATTATTTTTTGAAAGA